AGTTAATGTTTCTTTGTTAATTTTCTGTCCAGATGATCTGTCCAATGGATGGAGTGTTGAAGTACCCATCTAATATTATATTGTGATCTCTTCTCTCCCTTTAGAGCCAATAATATTTGCTTTATACTCATCTGGGTGCTCCAGTGTTGGTTGCACACATATTTATAATTGTATGCTCTCTTGCTGAGTTGATTCCTTTATCGTTGTGTAGTTACCTTCTTTGTCTCTTTTTTTTAAATAGTTTTTGACTTAAAGTCTGTTTTATCTGATCTAAGTACAGCTACTCCAGTTCACTTTTGTTTTCCATTTGTGTGGAATGTCTTTTTTCCTTCATTCACATTGTCTATGCGTGTTTATAGGTGAAGTGAGTTTCTTGTAGGCAGCATATATAATACTTAGGTCTTTACACTTGGGTGTGCATCTTTGCACACAGGTACAGATGTGTGTACAAGTAGAAGTTTAAATTTAGTCTCCCTGAAATCTTCTTGTTAGCTCAAAATTAAAGTTGCTAGTGTTTTTCAGGCTATTAGTATGTTCCAGTCACCATTTCTATATTCTCTCAGTTAGATGATATTATTACTGTTTTATATGGAGATTTGGAGGCACAGAAAAGTTAAGCAACTTTTCCGTTTATACACCCAGTAAGCAATAGAGCCCAGATTGGAACCTGGGGATACTAACAGGTCTAGTAATTAATAATGTTTAGGAGCTGATCTGAGGTCAATATGGCTTGTATCCACTGTTATTTTAACATATAATCAAAATCATGTTCATTAGATGTCAGGATGGTGTTAGAAAATTTTAGTGTCTTGAGATGACAAATATAATTTAGACTTACTTTAACACATTGGTGAAATGGTCCCTGGCAGAATGCTAGAGGATGTGCTCAATCAACTGTTTTGGTGAGCTCAAATAAAGTACCTAAAACATAGTGAGAATGGATATTGAATGAAATTTTAACAGGAAGCATATTAACATATGTAGAATGAAGACATGAAGTGAATCAGTCACAATTACAAGACTGAATGGAAAATTAGAAGCATATGAAGAAGACCTGTCTGTGTTTGAGATAAAATGTTTAAAAGCAATCAGGCCCCTCTCTCTTTCAGTTGTATCTCCCAGCAAAAAAAAAGAAAAAGAAAAGAAAAGAAACCTCAGCACTCTTTATGGGTGTTGCAGCACATTTGTCTGATCTTTAATTTTTAATGTTGTAACCAATATTAATAATTAGTTAACATAATTGCAGAGATTTTATAGAATCACCTGAGATGACTATTAAATGATTGATTAAAGGATTAAAAAGATGTCTGTGAGAAGTTCAAAGAGTGATAATTTTGTTTTTGTTGAGAATGTAGGGAGATTATATCTCACAAGCAATTCATGAGGATAAAAATTATATGTATGGCATTACTAAAAGTGAGATATTAATCTTTGATTAAATTTCTGGCATAAACGTTATTTTTCCTTCTTTGAGATCTGTTTTTATTTATTTATTTTTTAAAAATTGCATTTTAGGTTTTGAGGTACATGTGAAGAACATGCAAGATTGTTGCATAGGTACACACATGGCAGTGTGATTTGCTGCCTTCCTCCCCTTCACCTATATCTGGCATTTCTCCCCATGCTCTCTCCCCACAACTCCCATCCCCTGCTGTCCGTCCCCTATTTCCCCCCAACAGACCCCAGTGATGCCCCCTCCCTGTGTCCATGTGTTCTCATTGTTCAACACCTACCTATGAGTGAGAACATGCAGTGTTTGATTTTCTGTTCTTGTGTCAGTTTGCTGACAATGATGGTTTCCAGGTTCATCCATGTCCCTACAAAGGACATGAACTCATCATTTTTGATGGCTGCATAATATTCCATGGCATATATGTGCCACATTTTCCCTGTCCAGTCTATCATCAATGGGCATTTGGGTTAGTTCCAAGTCTTTGTGGCATAAGCATTTTTACCTTGCCTTCTCATCATAGAGAGTGATCACTTTGAGGAATTATCAGAGTACAACCTAAAAGGAGATCTGAAAATTACAACTTAATAGTACAACCTTTATGTAATACCTTCTTACCTTATTCCGAACCTATCAACCATGTGGTTTCAGTTTTCCATAAGAGACTCTTGATTTGTTCACATACTATAAAGGCATTTGGACCACAGATTCATTCATTCAAAAGATAAATTCAAAATCCACTGTACGCCAAACTTACATGGAATATATCATTGAATATAACTGATGAAAGCCTCTGCCCTACTGAAGCTTACATTGTTTTGGGGAAAGACAGACGATTAGTAATACACATAATAAATAAGTTAATTATATATATATAAAACGTAAAAAGGCAATAAACACATCGAAAAAATAAATCGTCGTAAGAAAAATGGTGTGGCAAGGTTGCAGTTTTAAATAATAGCCTTGTTAAATGTTGAACAAGCAAATTGTATGTTCTTATTTGAGCATACAATCTGCTTTCTTAATAATTCTCAGAGTATGGGAAATAGAAAGAAATGAGTTATATAATATGCTAAATAATTTTTTAAAGCAGAAGCTCTTGCACATATACCTTACAGTTCTCCAAAAGAGCACTGTAATATAGGATTGGCATTGCTTTCATTTTGCATATAAGGAAACTGAGTCTCCAGGGAGGTTAAGTATCTTAATCAAGGTTACTCTGTTTAATTGGTATCTAAGCTAAGACTGAAACCCAGATCTCCAGATTTCCAGTTCAGGACTTTTGTCCTCATAGTATCTTAAGCTATAAGCTCTTTTGATTATTTAGTCCATAACTTCAAATACTGGAATCTTCATAAATTTATGTAAGATGGTTGTTATTAAAACTGTAAAAACTGCATGTATTGTGTACCAGCCCCAACCCTGTTCGTTTGTGCCCTGGGTCCTGGCGTGATGAGGATTGAGAAAAGGAAATAAAGAGAAAGAGTAGAATTTTACAGCATGGGTCCAGGGGACCAGTGCAAGCATGGGGACCACATTGGCACTGAGCTGTGGGCTTCACATGCCTTTATTAGGTGTATACACTTGTTAATTGAGAGGTGGGGGAACAAAGAGGGATTATCAGGGAGGCCTTGAAACTATTGGGAGAGGCCTTGAGAGTCTTTACCTTAGGCGTCCTGTTGCCGCTTGATTTATTTATTTATTTTTATTGCATTTTAGGTTTTGGGGTACACGTGAAGAACATGCAAGATTGTTACATAGGTACACATATGGCAGTGTGATTTGCTGCCTTCCTCCCCATCACCTATATCTGGCATTTCTCCCCATGCTATCTCTCCCCAACTCCCCACCCCCTGCTGTCCCTCCCCTATTTACCCCCTGACAGACCCCAGTGTGTGATGCTTCCCTCCCTGTGCCCATGTGTTCTCATTGTTCAACACCCACCAATGAGTGAGAATGTGTGGTGTTTGATTTTTTTCTTGTGTCAGTATGCTGAGAATGATGGTTTCCAGGTTCATTCATGTCCCTACAAAGGACACGAACTCATCGTTTTTGAGGGCTGCGTAGTATTCCATGGTATATATGTGTCACATTTTCCCTGTCCAGTCTATCATTGATGGGCATTTGGATTGGTTCTAGGTCTTTGCTATTGTAAACAGTGCTGCAATGAACATTCGTGTGCATGTGTCCTTATAGTAGAACAATTTATAATCCTTTGGATATATACCCAGTAATAGGATTGCTGGATCAAATGGAATTTCTGTTTCTAGGTCCTTGAGGAATTACCACTGTCTTCCACTGAAGAGGGAGACCCAGGCATCTGAGATCAACTTCCCCTTTTCGTTCCTAAGACTGTAAACTTCCCCTTTTCATTCCTAAGACTGTAAACTTCCCCTTTTCATCCATAAGACTGTAAACTGAAGCCCTTTTCATATGTAATTCCTGAGACTGTAAACTGAAACCCTTTTCATATGTAATTCCTAAGACTGTAAACTGAGACCCTTTTCATATGTAGTTCCTAGTCATAAGACTGTGAACTGAGACCCTTTTGATATGTTAAGCTATGAACCTAAGATTCTTCCACCTGTAACATCTACAGTATAAGCCTATATAAAGAAGGAACCTTCCTTTGTTAGGGGAGCTTGGATGTTAGGCAGGTATGCCAACTTGCTCCCGGCTGAATAAACTCCTTCCTCCTGTATTCCGTGTCTGAGAGATCCGTTTCCCGTGGCCACTCCTGCCACACCACAATGGTTAAACTAATTTACACTCCCACCAACAGTGTAAAAGTGTTCCTATTTTTCCACATCCTCTCCAGCATCTCTGTTGTCTCCAGATTTTTTAATGATCGCCATTCTAACTGGCGTGAGATGGTATCTCAGTATAGTTTTTTGATTTGCATTTCTCTAATGACCAGTGATGATGAGCATTTTTTCATATGTTTGTTGGCCTCATGTATGTCTTTTGTAAAGTGTCTGTTCATATCCTTTGCCCACTTTTGAATGGGCTTGTTTGTTTTTTTCTTGTAAATGTGTTTTAGTTCTTTGTAGATTCTGGATATCAGCCCTTTGTCAGATGGGTAGATTGCAAAAAGTTTTTCCCATTCTATTGGATGCCAATTCACTCTAATGACTGTTTCTTTTGCTGTGCAGAAGCCGTGGAGTTTGATTAGGTTCAATTTGTCTATTTTGGCTTTCATTGCCAATGCTTTTGGTGTTTTGGTCATGAAGTCCTTAGCTATGCCTGTGTCCTGGATGGTTTTGCCTAGATTTTCTTCTACAGTTTTTATGGTGTTAGGTCTTATGTTTAAGTCTTTAATCCATCTGGAGTTAATCGATTTCTATTTTACTGCACCAATATTTGATATAGCTCAGTTCTGGGTATAAATTTCAGTGTACAATAAGCAAAGCATGCTTACAATTATTTAACTAGAAATAACATAGGTCTGACTCTGGCCATCTTGGCCTACAACATAAGTCTTAACTGTCCTTTATCCGTCTTTATTCTGATAAATTGTGGCTTTGTCTTCTATTTTTTTGCTTTTATTTAGGATCAAGCAGAACAATTCTTTAGAAGTGGCCATACAAACAACTGGGCTGTTCTGGTAAGTATGCTGTAAAAGTATTCCTTGCTGTTCACATTAGATATGTGTCTGAGAAATTTGTGTGAATCAAATTTTTGAAAATAAAATTTATTTTTGTCCATTTTATATCAGAAATTTCTTATTTTGATTTAGCTATATTTTAAATTGACCACATCAGCTATAATATTCTAGTAATATTCTTTATCCTCAGAATATACGTCAAGTGGTGACCTGAAAAATAAATGTAAGAATAAATTAGGAGTATTATTATTAAAGGAAACATTTTATAAGAGGTAGAATTATTTTAATGCTGGAAACTACTAATTATATTTCTTATCTATAGTATTAGTTTATAGATACTTTCTATATAGTTTATCCTTTTTAAAAATTTTTTTTTTTCCTGCTTATAAAAATAATGACCAGTGTAGAAAGTTCAAACTATACAGAAAAGTTTAAAGAAGGCAGACTAATTTTGTTATGTGAATTTCACCTCAGTTAAAGAAGACAGGGAAAATGGCTTCAAGTCCCACATCCAGAGTTGATATTTTTGTGAGCATTCTTCTAGTTCTTTCTTTCATATGTAAGCATAAAGATATATGGACATATGATTTTATATAATTGGGATCATATTATACTGGCTATTTCGCAACCCCTTAGCATATTTTAGGGATGTTTCCTTGCTAGTAGGTATGGAGATACATGATCTTTTCCAAAAGCTGTATTTTATTCCATTTTGTGAATGTACTGTAACCTCCAGTTTATGGGCATTTAGAGTATAAATTTTTCATTATTGTAAACAGGGCTGTGTTGAATGTTTTTATACACATAACTTTGTGACTTGACAAAGTTACTAAAAATTCCTGAAAAAAAAAAACTGCTAAAGAAAAGGAGAGAGGTTTTCAACGTCTACTTTAAAGTAAGGAAAACTATCGGAAACAAAGCCATGATCTACCAATTTCACAGGGTAACCTTTCTCTACAGGAAATTGAGAGTTCCTCCATGTTCAAGAGGGAATAACTGCTTATGTGCAGACCACCAATTGCCAAAGGGCTTATCCTGATGAAAGCCTCTGCCCTACTGAAGCTTACATTGTTTTGGAGAAAGACAGATAATTTGTAATACACATAATAAATAAGTTAATTATATATATAATTTAAGAAAAGACTCCTAGCTTATACTGACCCACACCTTGGGTGTGAAACCCTTCCTTGCTCTGGGAAACCTCTAACTAAACCTCTCTTCAATTTTAGTAACCTGGGATTCAGATTAAAAAAAAAAAGATGAAAAAGAAACATTACTGAGCATTGTATTACAACTGCAGTTTTCTTTCTTTGCCCAATATTTTATATATTAGTATAGTAAAACTTGAATAAATTATACTTTATTTTTTAAAATAACAAGGGATTTTTTTAGAGATGAAATCTTGCTCTGTCACCCAGCTTGGAGTGCAGTTGTGTGATCATAGCTCACTGTAACCTTGAACTCCTGGGCTCGAGTGAACCTCCCAACTCAGCCTCCAAGTAGCTAGAACTACAACCACAAACCACCACTCCTTGCTAAATTTTACATTTTTTGTAGAGACGGGAGCCTCTCTGTGTTGCCTAGGCCAATCTTTAACTCCTAGCCTCAAGTGATCTCTTCCACCCTGGCCTCCCTAACTGCTAGGATTATAGGTGTGAGCTACTGTGTCCAGCCAGAATTTTATGATATTTTTTGACATATGGAATTTTACATTTTTATGTAGTCAAAAATTTGGTCTTTTCCTGATTGAATTCCAGATTGAAAATTTACTTTAGTTAAAAAAAACGTGTAGTTCCTTTCTATTTGGCAGGGGCAAGAACACTTATACGTTATTCTCAAAATTGTCCTTATACCTACTAAAAGCACAGGCATGTGATAGAAGCCAGGATTGTGCTTGGTAGATCTATTACCAAGTGACCCCAAATCTATGTTTACCTACCTTAGAATGGGTTCTCAATAACACTAATTTAGAGGCATAGAATTAGATTTTCCTAGCACCTTTAATATAATTCTTAGGAATTTTTTTTAAACTATAAAACTTGGTTGAATTGTTTTTAGTTTTCTCTTCAGTTCAGTAGATTCTTTTTAATGCATTCTGTTGTGTGCATTTACAACTGTTTTGTATGTTATGTTTTATCCTCTGTCTTACATTTCTCACAACAAAGGAAGCAATCTAAAGTGAAACAAATAATGTATAACCCAATGTAGTTGATTTTCTTCTCTATTCTGTGAAGAAATTATGGGCATTTGTTTGATTCTAAAGAATTTAATATTTTAGAAATAGGAATGTTATCGAGTCACAGAAATTGTGATAACAATTGGTTGGTTCAAATTTGATTAAATTTCCCCAAAAAAGACATGCTTTTTCTTTTTTTTTTTCAGTTTATCAGTAATATTTATTGAATGGTCTTCCCCTTTTTCATTAATTTGAAAAGCCACTCATAGTAAAAAATCTCCCAGGTATATTTGTGTCTCATGCTAGATTCACTCCATCCCTTCATAAATTTCCATAAAGATCACATTGAATTGATAAAATCACTTAGTGGAAATTGGCAAGGACATGCTTTTTCTTAAGCTGAATGGTCTTTTAAAATTATAAATCTCTTTGGAGAGATTAGTTTTACTGAAAATTCTTTTTTTTTTTTTTTGAGACAGAGTCTTGCTCTGTCACCAAGGCTGGAGTGCAGTGGTGCCATCTCTGCTAACTGCAACCTCCACCTCCAAGGTTCAAGCAGTCTCCCAAGTAGCTGGGACTACAGTTGTGCACCACCACTCCTGGGTAATTTTTGTATTTTTAGTAGAGATGGGGTTTTGCCATATTGGCCAGGCTGGTCTCAAAATCCTAGACCCAAGTGATCCACCCGCCTTGGCTTCCCAAAGTGTTGGTATTACAGGCGTAAGCCACAGAGGCTGGCCTTTACTGACAATTCTTTATGTTTGCTGTTTTAAAGCCTGAATTATCATACTCTTTGTTTGGAGATCTCTGTATCCTACTTAAAGAAAAATACTCTACAGCTCCATGATTAACTTTCATGCATAAAAATTGTATTTTTGTTTTAATACTTTAGGTGTGTACATCCCGATTCTGGTTTAATTATCGACATGTTGCAAATACTCTTTCTGTTTATAGAAGTGTCAAGAGGCTAGGTATTCCTGACAGGTAAGAAGCTTTAATAAAGCTTAACTGTGAACTTCAGTGAAAATAACCCTGAGAGAATTGTCATTATATTTGTATTTTTGTGTTACGTTTGAAAAAGGTAAAAAAAAATCTGATTTGAAGTTATTTTGTTGTTGTTAGAGCATACTACTATTTATATGTTAGATGTTACTTAAGATCATAATGACAAATCATATAAAAGAACAGATGCTAAGGTAAAAAAATTGGATGAAGTATACTTTTTTTTTTGAGACGGAGTTTCGCTCTTGTTACCCAGGCTGGAGTGCAATGGCGCGATCTCGGCTCACCGCAACCTCCGCCTCCTGGGTTCAGGCAATTCTCCTGCCTCAACCTCCTGAGTGGCTGGGACTACAGGCACGTGCCACCATGCCCAGCTAATTTTTTGTATTTTTAGTAGAGATGGGGTTTCACCATGTTGACCAGGATGGTCTCGATTTCTCGACCTCGTGATCCACCCGCCTTGGCCTCCCAAAGTGCTGGGATTACAGGTGTGAGCCACTGCGCCTGGCTGAAGTATAATTATTTAGTGCAATTTATTTAATTACCAAATGATTCAGTCAGGGTTTTTAATTGCAGATAATGGAGGGCAATTCAGACTGATTTGAGTAGACAAGGGATTTATTGAAAGCATATTGTTTACCTTACCAAATTAGTTAGAAGGTTGTATCCTTAAATATAGGAACAAGGAACCCTAGATATCAGAAGAGACATAGCTAAAAAGCATGACCTAAAACAGTCTGGTGACAATAATGGAGCTGCAAATTGCTGAAGCCTAGACTCAGCCACTGCATAGCTGCTACTGTTTGTTTGCTTTGGAAACTTAATGTTGCTGTTGCCTCCTGCTGCCAAAATTTAGCTTTGCTGTCCCAACTTCTTACTGTTTCTCTCTTATAGAGATCTTGGTGGGAATGTTACATTGGTAAAGTCTAGGTGCAGCACCCATGTCTGTGCTGCAGGGTGACCAGAAGATCTAGTATATGGCATTGTTAGCTTCTGTATAGGAAGGTGGGCTTTGCCTTACATGAAGACTCATAAAGTGGGAATTTTCTTACTTGTAGGGAGTGAGTTCAGGTAATAGGCAGTATCCCCCATACCTTCAGTTAGATCATGTCTTCTACATTGTTTTGTCCATGATAGATTTGTTTTCCCTACTACCAAAGCAGCTATAGCAAGAAACTGCAGTCAATTCAGTTTTTAGGTTTGATTTATTTAATACCAGTGAGTCAGTGTGGAAAGAGCTGTGTAGTCAGATATGACTTTGAAATCTGGCTTTAGTGATGATTTTTCTTTAAGCCACTTCACCATACTAAGCTTGTTTCTCATTTGTTACATGGTAATAATAGTACTTTTTTTGTAGGATTCAAGTCCTTACAGTAAAAACAAATAGAGATATACATAAAGTGCCGCAGGAACAGAAAATAAACAATGAATGACTCAGGAAACAAAGTTATATTACAGTCTATGTAAATAGATCACTTAAGTCTGAGTAACTGACAAAGCTATAATTTCCATATTTCATCTGGAAATCATGGCAACTAGATAATAATACTATTTAAAAATTACATTAAGTCTGAGAAGGAGGTTGATTTGTTATGTGAAGTGTATAGATATACTTCTTGTCATTTGTCATTGGTTTTTCTCAAATAGGCCTATGTAGTTAGTTTTCGGTCCTTAACCGCTCTTGCGTCTATACTGGATATACTCTTCTAGAGAATCACTACGCATGGCTTGGCAATAGTTTTTCTTTGCTAAATTAATTTTGTTCTAGGAGTCAATCATTAAGATACATTTAAATGATTTAAGTTAGATTTGGAGGGAGTTTTTAGGAATAGACAATAGCAATAGGATGTATTTTGTATATTATGTTTAGTAGGTTTGTCTTTAGGTTTGTGAAAATGTTATTTAAAAGCTTATTTCTGTTTATTGATTTCTTATCTATAGCTGTGTTTATAAAGTCTTTGTTGTGGGGTGAATTATGTATTCAAATAGTTGCTGATTTAAGTCATTTGCATTTTAACAAGTAGAAATCAGTAGAAAAGATTCTGCTCGGCTGGTGTTGGGTAAATAAATGTACGATTTAGAAATATTTTATCAGTTGTGCCAAGCAAATGCAGTTTGTGTTTTAAAAGTAAAAATATTTATATCCCCTAAATTGTGTTAGTCCAGTGTTAGAAAATGTTAGTATGATATTAAAGGCATTTTAATAAAATAGGTTGCCAGAATTTTATAATATTATTTCAAAATATTGACTCGGGGAAAAGGCTTATTAATGGTTCTGGGAGAAAATGCAAAGATAACACTCATAAGACCTTCATACGTGCTCTCTAGCTTGAGTATGGCCAGTTTCTTATCCAAGTTCCACGCAGGTGGGGTTTCTATACTTTGCACCCATACTTTTTCTCTAATCTTATGGAGATTTTGTTTTTATTTGCCTAGTTTTAGCTTCCTCAAATATTTCCTTATTGTTAGGCAATTTCCTGCCCTCAATGAATTATTTTGGACTAAATCCCTGTTTAGCTACCTTCAATATGTTTACTATAATTAAAATGAAGAAAAGGCATTAAATAGGGGTCAGGTTCTAAGGTTAGTATGTGAAGCAAACATAGAGCCACAATTACTCCTGAGAGTTTATCAAATAGCACATAAATTACAGTTTAGTATTGTCTTTCATCAGGTCTACCACAGTGCTATTACTATTTTCTTCATTTGAACACTGGATAAATTGTTTACTTATGATTAGAGCCCTGTTTATGAAAAAATATACGTACCTTTAACATTAGAATTGTGTTCTGCATGCTGTGAGAAGTACATGGGAATTGAGGCTGACTGAGGGAATGTAGAATCATAGCTCCCATCTCACGTTTCCTCTAGGGAATAAATTCTTTTAGCATTAGGTTTGGAGATGTGATCTGTCTCTGTCACTCTCTCTTTTGGCTGAGTGCATAAGATTTAGTTCACAGAGTAAAATGTCTATATAATCTTTTAAAAAATAAGATTTAGTTTTACTGCAGGTTGGGTGGATGTGAGTTTATGTAGTGATCCCTGTCTGATGCATGTTTCTATAAAATCCAAGAGCTTTTCTGAGTCCATCTAACACTTTTCTTTCTTACTCTGTATTTCAGTTCTATGTGAGATTAATCTTCCCAATTTAAAGCTTTTATTCTTCATTTCCCCGTACTCAAAGCTTTTTAGAGTATTTAAAATAAAGTTCAAATCCCTTATCCTGGTACTTAAGACGTTTTTGCAGTGTGATTCCAAATCTGACATTCTGTTCTTTTAGTTTCAATCTCTTATGCTCCAGCCATTTTCTTCTTAGTCCCTGTATTGTCCTTCATTATATTGTCCTTGTCGCTAATCTACAGTTCTTTCGTTTCTCCCTCTCCTCTTGTTTTCTGATGTCCAGATTAAATCCATGAATTCCCTGAAGCTTTCTTGCATAAATACTGTATTTGTTCTTCTCTTTTGGCACTTTGTTACATGTGTTGATGTCATGTCTTCATGGTTGGATGCTATACTATATATTTCTCACAGAGCATTTCTTGATATATTATTGCAGAGTGAATGAGTGAATGAATAGTGTGCTAAATACTTAAATACTTAGCTACTCATAGCTAAGTAGAACCTCATTAGTCTAGACAAGAAAGGAAACTTTTATGAATTTGACTTATTAACATTCTCATAATCTTGGTTCTCAACTCCTACAGAGCTAACAGTGCTCTCTAGTGAGGTTTTTTTTTTTTTGAGGTAGAGCTTTGCTCTGTAGCCCAGGCTGGAGTGCAGTGGACTGATCGTGGCTCACTACAACCTTCAAATGATTCTTGTGCCTCAGCCTCCTGAGTAGCTGGGATTACAGGCTTGTTTTTGTATTTTTAATAGAGACAGGGTTTTGCCATGTTGGTCAGGCTGGTCTCAAACTCCTGGCCTGAAGTGATCCACCCAATGGCTGGGGCAATCTTACCAGGGCGCTTCAATTGATTTCCTTCTGTCAGAAATCTCCAAGAGTCTTGCTCAAAACAAGTCACCCCCAGCCTTACTTATTACCATTTAAGTTCCTTCAGAATGCATATGTTTTCTTTTTGTCCTTTGTCCCTTTTAACTTATTTCACAGTTAATAAATATTAGAATTAGAAGTAGGAGCTATTTGGTAAATTCTGGTAATGTTTCTGTAAGTAGTAAAAGTCACTAATTGTTGTTATTGTTGTTTTTTAAATCGTATTGGTCATATAGCTTTTACTGTTGCTCTTTATGCTGCTGTGGATTTGTCCTTATACATAAGAGAAGACTGAAGTGGAGCATTAATAAGCCATTCAGCAATCTTACTGCATAATAATTCCTTAAAATGCTTTTTTTAAAATACTTGTGTCTTTCTGTTCAGTAACAACAGCCATTATAGATCTCTCTCACTCTCCTGTAACACATTCACTGTCCACCATAATTCAGAGACTATGTTAGGAATTTTATAATGAATTATTTTATATATTCCTGAGGCCTTTATGAGAGGTTGTTTTTTCTCATTTTGCATACTAAAAATAGTTAAAATGGTTGCTCAGAGTGGTTAAATGAATTGCTTAAGGTCAATTAAATATTAATAATTAAAAATAGGACCACAATTTGATTTCAGGCCTTCTGACTTTATGGCTAGATGATTTCTATTATAGCACAGCTGTCTTCTCCCCATGAAATTACAACAATTAATATTTATGTAATATTTATAACTAGTGAATTCTTTTAAAATACATTGTCTCATTTTATTCTTATGAGAATCTATAGATGTTAGTATAATTATGCACACTCATTAAGTATCTTATTAAATTCTAAAATGTATATATGTTGAATGTGGTGACTAGGGGGTGTGTGAAACAGTTAATATTAAATAAATGTAAGGAATGCTTCTCTGATTTTCTCATTTTCTTTTTCATATTTTTTTACTTTTGTCTAAGACATTATTACTTAATGCTTCATGTATTTCATGCTTCTTCAAT